TCTTCATGGAAATAGAACAAAGAATCCTAAAATTCATATGGGGCAACAAAAGACCCCGAATAGCTAAAGCAATCCTGAGAAAAAAGAACAAAGCTGGAGGCATCACAATCCCTGACTTCAAAACATACTACAAAGCGACAGTAATCAAAAGAGCATGGTACTGGTACAAAAACAGACACACAGATCGATGGAACAGAATTGAAAGCCCATAATTAAAGCCACACGTCTACGGACAGCTAATCTTTGACAAAGGAGCCAAGAACATACAATGGAGAAAGGCAAGTCTCTTCAATAAATGGTGCTGGGAAAAAGGACAGCCACGTGCAAAAGAATGCAAGCAGATCATTACCTCACACCACACACAAAAATTAACTCAGAATGGACTAAAGACTTGAAGGTAAGACCTGAAACCATATAACTCCTAGAAGAAAATACAGGCAGTACCCTCTTTGACATCAGTCTTAGAAGGATCTTTTCAAATTCCATGTCTACTCGGGCAAGGGAAACAAAAGAAAAAATAAACAAATGGGACTACATCAGACTACAGAGCTTCTGCAAGACAAAGGAAACCACGAACAAAATGAAAATACAACCCACCAACTGGGAGAAAATATTTGAAAATCATATATCTGACAAGGGGTTAATCTCAAAAATATATAAAGAACTCATACAACTCAACAACAAAAAAATAAACAATCCGGGGCCGGCCTGGTGGCGTAGTGGGTAAGTTCATGTGTTCCATTTCAGTAGCCCAGGGTTCGCAGGTTCAGATCCTGGGTGTGGACCTACGCACCGTTTATCAAGCCATGCCATGGCAGGCATCCCACATATAAAGTAGAACAAGATGGGCACAGATGTTAGGCCAGGGCCAATCTTCCTCAGCAAAAAAGAGGAGGATTGGCATCGGATGTTAGCTCAGGTCTAATCTTCTTCACCAAAAAAAAAAAAAAAAAAAAGGCAGAGGATATGAACAGAGACATTTTTCCAAAGATATACAGATGGCCAACAGGCACATGAAAAGATATTCAATATCACTAATCATTAGGGAAATGCAAATCAAAATTACAATGAGATATCACCTTAGATCCATTAGAATGGCTACAGTTACCAAGACAAAAAACAAGAAATGTTGGAGAGGATGTGGAGAAAAGGGAACCGTCATATACTGCTGGTGGGAATGCAAACTGGTGCAGCCACTATGGAAAACAGTAAAGAGATTTCTCAAAAAATTAAAAATAGAAATACCATATGACTCACCTATCCCATTACTGGGTATTTACCCTAAGAACTTGAAACCAACAATTTAAAGAGACTTATGCACCCCTATGTTCACTGCAGCATTATTCACAATAGCCAATACATAGAAGCAACCCAAGTACCCATCAACTGATGAATGGATGAAGAAGATGGAAGATGTGGTATATATATATTTATATATACACACACACACACACACACACACAACGGAATATTACTCAGCCACCAAAAAAGACAAAACTGTCCCATTTGCAACAACATGGATAGAGCTTGAGGGTATTATGTTAAGTGAAATAAGCCAGACAGAAAAGACAAACACCATATGATCTCACTTATTATGTGGAAGATAAACAAACACATGGACAAACAAAACAGATTAGTGGTTAGGGAAGGGAGTTGGTGGGCTGGGCATAAAGGGTAAAGGGGCACATATATATGGTGACTGACAAATAATAATGTACACCTGAAATTTCACAATGTTATAAACTATTATGACCTCAATATAATAAAAAACTCCACTTGGGCGTAGTCACAATCCAGTGTTACTAAAGGAATCGACTAGTTCTACCAAGAATTAAAATGGTATCTTGATTTTGCCTATTAATGTCTATGCAAAGATTTAGGGCAATTGCAATTTTTTTGACCTTGAGACCAAAATCAGACATATCTCCTTAGCAGTGGGCATTAGGATTTAATTGAGAAAATGCAAATCTATAATTTAAGTGAAAAATTAAAAATTCTTCACTAAATTAACATTGTTATAGGGGAAAAAATTAATGCTTTTGAGGTATCTAGAAACTTTCTAGCTGTAAAATGTTCCCCTGGGATTATCAGAGGGATAGAATATAAAAACAGCATTGCTTAGAAGTAAAAAAACAAGAAAACCCCCAAACCCCAAACTAAGGACTACTCACAGGTCTCTGTCTTTTAAATGTCAGGGATTCAGAGGAGGAAAGAGCTATGCGTTAGATCACCACTAGAGGGCAGGGTGGAACTGGATTTTCTGCACACCTGTCAACTCCTGTCTTCACTAAGTCAATGCTGACTCAGCCACAAGAGAAAAGCCTAAATCTCGACATTGCCATGATTTTTAAAATAACATCTATGTGGCTCCACCTCCCTGCACCCCAAAGCAGTTTTTAGGCCATACTGTGTTTGAAACTCACTGTAAATATCACCACAGTTAATTTAATTGAAACAATATTATAACTTTATTAAATAAGGTAATGAGAGGGTCAAATAACTCATCTTCATCAGTGCATATTAAATACAAGCTAGCTGCACAGTAATATACTACTGTCCTGTACTTCAGAGTAATCTAAATTTAGGACTAATAAGAACAACTTCTCAGTTAGGTTAGTAAATCACATAAATTCACTGGCTTTAATCCATGTTCACATCCCTTTCCCAGTCTCCCAGATACATTTCTTCCCAGCTTGGTTAGCTACAGGCATCTTCCCAAATCAAGTAAATTCAAAATTTTTGCTAAGTACACAACCCATAAGGACACAGGTAACCAAAAGAGTTTCTCCTCTTCTAGATACTAGTCATATGCTAGTGATCATTAAATATTTCAGTGATACCAGATGAGTTAATCCTCATGGTTGAAAAGTGTTTTAAGAGAAAAAATACAGGTAACTTGGCCATACTAATTATTTCGTATAGCGAAGCTTAACTTAACTCCTGAAATCCAGCGGCCGTTCCAAAATACAGTTAAGTCCTTTGCTTGAGTTTCAGTGTTAGCTTCATGTATCACCGTAACACATTTTGGTTAAAAGCAAATGTGAAAAACGGGAAGACAATGAACAACTGTGAGTACTCAGCTTCTGCATGTGGATCCAGTTCTGCGTTAGTGAAAAATGCTTTATATGCCCTTTTCTCATTATGCTAAGAATAGAAAAGGTATCTAACCAATGTTATCAAATTCAAATAAAGCCTGAACAAGAAGATAGATGGGTTAAAAATCACTAGAGGCAACCAACACATATCTTTATTAAAACATACAACTTACTGTATTCCGTGTTCATTGCAGCATTATTTACAATAGCCAAGACACGGAAGCAACCTAAGTGTCCACCGATGGATGAACAGATAAAGAAAATGTGGTGTGTGTGTGTGTGTGTGTGTGTATATATATATATATATATACACACACACAATGGAATATTATTCTACCATAAAGAAGGAAATCTTGCCATTTGCAATAACATGGATGGATCTTGAGGGCATTACGCTAAGTGAAATAAGTCAGACAGAGAAAGACAAATATCATATGATCTCGCTTATTTGTGGAATCTAAAAAACAAACAAAAAAAACTCATAGATACAGAGAACAGACCGGAGTGGTGGCCAGAGGTGGAGGGTAGCAGGTGGGCGAAATGGGTGAAGCAGGTTCAAAGATACAAACCTCTAGTTATAAAATAAAAAAGTCATGGGGACGCAGTGTACAGCATGGTGACCACAGTTAATAATACTGTATTGTACATCTGAAAGTTGCTATGAGAGTAGACCTTAAAAGTTCTCATCACAAGAAAAAAAAATTAACTCTGTGGTGATGGATGTTAACTAGATTTATCGTGGTGATCATTTTGCAATATATACAAATACTGAATCATTATGTTGTACACCTGAAATTCATATAATGTTATATGTCAATTATATCTCAATAAAATTTAAAAAACAATAAAAAAGAAGCATTACTATGAAAGCTCTGAGACAAAAGTTGTATTTATATGCATTTTCTTTGAAAAAGCAAGGGCAACAGAGCTGTATTTCCAGTTTTCTTAGGTCCTGTGCATCATCCCACAAGTTGTTGTACAGATATATACATCCTTCAGCTTAATTATTTACAACCTACATTTTGTGATATCTTTCTGGTAACAAATGTACAGCACTACTTTTCCTAACTGAAAATTTCAATTTAACATAACTTAAAGAACCATTTACAATTTGCATTTCAAAACAATAAAGTCATTAAGATTTCTCTGTTAAAAAAAGAGACTACATGAAAATATTTTTTAACCTTGAATTTCAGTGTAGAATATTATCTATATTAATAATTTAACATTATTTAAGTCACATAATCAACTTAACTTTTGTAAAATCAGGACCTGTGGAGGTTTATGTCAGTATTAAGTACATCAAGATTGAGTTTAATTTCTTTTTTTATTTTTATTTTTTTTTTGTGAGGAAGATCAGCCCTGAGCTAACATCCATGCTAATCCTCCTCTTTTTGCTGAGGAAGACCAGCTCTGAGCTAACATCTATTGCCAATCCTCCTCCATTTTTTTTTCCCCAAAGCCCCAGTAGATAGTTGTATGTCATAGTTGCACATCCTTCTAGTTTCTGTATGTGGGACGCGGCCTCAGCATGGCCGGAGAAGCGGTGTGTCAGTGCGCGCCCGGGATCCGAACCCGGGTCGCCAGTAGCTGAGTGCATGCACTTAACCGCTAAGCCACGGGGCCGGCCCGAGTTTAATTTCTTTATTAATGTCTAAGTGACATATAATTTAGTCTCTGAAACAGACAAAAAAAGATTCAAACTTGCTTTGACCAACATTTTCATTTTAATGTTACTTTTGAAAGCATCAAATTTAAACCCTAATCCAAAATATAATTAAGGAAAAAACTGTCTAACAAAAATATTTAACAGTACTTGTGAACTGTATACAAACTCAGACTTGACCAAAAATTCCATCCTGCAAGGAAATTAATTCATATTCCATTTTTAATAAAGGAACATACCAATTCTTTTACTCTGCTCTTTTCTAGATTGAAGTCTAATTTGGTATCTGTTCGGACTTTGATCACTTCATCCTAGTAGGAGGGCAAACAACAAAGAAAGAAAAATTCAAAGTGAGAAAGCCAAACCCTCTGAGCACGTAAAGCCTGGGACTGCTTCCTGCACAGCCTCCGCCCTAAGGGGGCCATCCCAGGGGAGGGGCAGGGCCAGGGGCTCACAGAGAAGAGGGGCTAAGACTTAACGACGTTGGGAGACTCTGGTCAAGCCCCGTCTGCAGTCAGCCCTGTCTTGGGACTTCCCAGTCATACATACAAATAATCCCCTTTTATGGTTAAGAGTCAGTTATTGTTGCTTTTAACCTCAAGACTCCCAATATATCTCCTTGTGGAAATTATGAGTCAAGCTGTTCCTTGGACAACTTTGGAAAGCAGAGACGGACTCAAAGAAGTAAAATACTAAATTCTGGTTTAAATAAAGCCTTCTTTCTGACACTCATCAAAACTTTTTCTTTTTTAATATCAACGTCCTTTCCACTTAAAAAAATCAAACAGCTGGCATGGTAAGCATTCTAAAATCACATGTAAATCTCTAAAGCCAGTCTCTTCTAAGAGAATCTAAGGGTTCCATGAGGCTACTTTAAAAGACTTTTTATTTAAAAATGACTAATTCCTTTCAGAACACAATTTTCTTAATGAATTTGGTTACAGACATCAGCAATTTATTCATTGGCTGTGTTCTTAGCTAAATCTTCCAATGTATATTTTTGAGATATATTACACAAATATTTAACACAGAATTAAGTGTTTAAGAACATATATAGTATTTCTGACATTATTACTAAGCTGACGTAATTACAAACAAGCAAGCAAACAGGAATGAAGTTCTTACCGTTATTTGTTGTTTTAACCGATGCAATTCAAGCTTTATTTTCTAAAAACACATTAAAAAGAAACAAGTCGAGGATATGTTTAGAAGGTTAGAAGAGAAACATAAAACTTGGTAATAAACAAATATTAGAACATGTATTTATGCACAAATTCTTTCTCCATTTAACACGCACTTGGCTACATTCAGAACACAACATTAACTGAACAGTCTCAGTAACAGAAATGATTATTTGTCACGCAGGATGGTACAATTGTATCTAACATGCATATTTGTCTTCAAGGGCCTTCTTTAAAACTTCCTTCAATTTTTCTTTTAACTAATTCTGCCCTCAAATAGCACACTTCAGGGACAACTTTGAGTTTTAAACTCGACTGTTTCCTAGGAAAAGGAGGAATCTTCTGCTAGAAGGTTTCTTATAACACTAAGATCAACAGGGAATAAATGAACTCCCTTGATGGAACTTTAAATAGGACTGAAAATAAAAGCAAGATGCAAAGATAGCACTTATTTGTGATCCCATATGCCACACTTTAAGAAACTGAGGGATATTTTACAGCAGCACTCATTCATAATAACCAAAAACTGGTAACAATTCTAATATACACCACAGTAGAATAATGTGGCATATTCATGTAACACTACAGATAAATGAAAAGAATGATCTACCAATGAACGACACACTATGATTCCATCCGACGAAGTTCTAGAATAGGCAGAACCAGTCAATGGCGATATAAGTCAAGACAGTGGTTTCCTCTGTGGGAAGTGACTAGAAGGGGGCATCAGCAGGACGTCTAGGGTGCTGGTGATGTGCTACCTCTTGATCTGATTGGTAGTGTGTGTTCTGTGAATATTCATGGAGATGTATGCCCGTGCACTTTTGTGTATGTATATTATACCTCAATGTCTTAATATAAAGTGTTTTATATAGCATGAGTGGCTCTTTAGTTTTACCTCATTTTCTGCTCTGAGGGCTGAAAATTCACTCTTCTCCAAAATAATCATATCTTTCTTCACATTAGCAATCTGAGACATTATCTGCTGAAGAGTGATCTCCTAGAAAAGAGCAGCAAAACATATAAGCTAGTCTAGCCTAGGAAGTCCACCTTCCCCGTCTCCACTTGGTATCAACTTAATGAGAATCTAGAAGGTGGACACAAGAAAAGAGGTCCAGCAAGGTCATCCTTTATTCCAAAACAAGAAAAGGAAAAGAATAAAAACTCAATCATCATCAAGCGAATCATGGTTAAAAGGGTGGCATCTGAGGCCCAGTGGCTCAAGAACACACTGCTGTGATTCTGGCCACATTTCCATTTATTAATGGCTGATTGGAATAGTTAGTTTTCAAGCATAGGGAGTTTTCAAGCATAATGATTCTATAATAGTTGACTAAACAGCTCTGAATAAATATTTTTTATGCCACTATAATCGTCTGCCTCTCAACTATGGTTAAAATTACTATATGCTTTTCAATAGAGTATTATCCAAAAACATACATTAAAAATAACATTTCACCTTTAGATTTCAAGTTTGCTCGAGTGCCCAGACAAAGCTAACCTGCTGCATCTTGGTGACCATATCTTTGTAGACGACATTCATGTTGGCCTCCACGATCCTGACCAGTGCAGATACAATGATTTCTGCTTGTTGCGTAGTAAACCCTAAGCAAACACAAACAAAGACTATTACACTCAGGAGACTCTGTTGTCAGGAAAAAAAATCCTCCATAGAAAGGGAGGAAATGCAAACGTACAGATTCAGGTGAATGTCTGAATTCAGAAGCAGGTGGAAACCTACTGTGGTAGGAGGGCGAGGAGACTAGAGTCACAGACTATGATGTGTCTGTCACTCTGGAAGGTACGGCACATCAGAGTCTGTTTCCTCATGTAAAATGAGGGGTTGGGCTGACCGATCTCGAACGCCCTTCCTACCCGTCAAAAATCACGTTTTCAGAGAATGTCTAATAAACAGAGGCAATGCCTGCAATGTGATGTCAAGTGGAAAAAAGCCCGACTCAAAATATAGAGACAATTTATTGCTTTTGTAATTTAATAAAGATCCTAGGTAATTTTTATTTTCTTCTGTGTTACCTAAATTTTCTGCGATGAACATGACTTCCTAATTTGAATATGTACACGTTAGTAAAAAATAATTTACTTAAGAAAGCTCAATTATTTTATACCCAGCATAAATCAGTCAAATCATTGACTACATAAAAATAAACAGCAATTTAGCTGTTAGTTAATCTATTTGACATTAAAAGACAAAATCAGTTCTTTCAGTTTTCCTCTATAGTTCTCTTCCGTCACTAGTGAGGGTAACCCAACCTGGAAAAAATATATTCTTTGGTACTCAATAAATGACGCTGAATTGAATTATATAAAGATAAGCAGTGTTACTGCTTTTAATAACTTTAGATAGTAACTTAAATTTCACACTGGAAATTCTAATAAAATGTTTAAAACCAAGTCCCTGGAAAGTAATTCCTTCTATAAAATACTTCCATCTATAAGAACTTCACAAGACTCTATTGATTCTTGTAATTAATTAATGGCACATTTGTTTGAACACAGTTATAACTGATACAATTTAAACGAGATTAAGCACGGGACTATAATTTAAAAAAAGACAAAGATACAGATTTAAAGGGGACAAAAACCGCAATTAAAAAAAATAATACAATGACCCACTAAGAAATTCAAAAAAAAAATAAATAAATAAATAAAGGAGACAAAAAAAGCCTTCCGAAGACCTACTCTCTTCATTTTATTCAAAATCATTTAATTTTCAAGGTATGGGTCATACACATCTAGAAAAATCATCTAAAAGGTTATCTACCAAAATGTTAACGTTATTTAACTCTGGGGTCTTGGGATTCAGAACAGTTTTTCTTATTTCTTTTCTGTTGTCCTAATTTTTTGAAAAGAACGTATCTTGTGCAATTTTTAAAACTTTATTAAGAAGAGTTCATAGTTAAACATAATTAAGTTTGGCAGTTATGAAGAAAAGAAAAATAGAGACCGAAAGGGAACTTATGCTCATAATAAAACAAACTCCAAAGCCATATAATTTATAACCACCCATGGGAGGAGGTAGGGTGAAGAAAAAGCAGAAGTTAAGCCTGAAAACCTGCTGGGTTACCAGACACAAATTAATGTTTTGTAGGAATCAGAGAACAAGACACAATCAGGGTTAGTGAGATTACAGACATATAGTTAGTTTTGTTAAGCAGGAGATACAACTCTGGAGAAAAAAAGGATAAAGGACAGAATATTCCTTGAAGGGTCCTTCCTGGCCTTATCCTGACCCAGTCATCTTAGACATCCAACATTCATCTAAGCACCCTCACACCCTACACTTTAGTGGGGTCCCCACATCACTGGGTCTTGAAATATGCCAATATTCACCGGTCAGCGTTTAGCATGAAGAAAAGCAAAAAGTACAGGTATCAAAACATCACATTTTAAACATTAAACATACACAATTTTTATTTGTCAAAAATAAATAAACAAACAAATTTCTAAAGGAGGGGGGATAAACGCCACCTCTTGATGGGAGGAAGGATGGCCATCCTGAGTCCACTGCAGCCACCTCGCCACCATCACACTTAACAAAACTAACAGTGCTCCCTTAATATCATCCAACACTGAGTCTATGTTGAAATGTCCCCCTCACCTCTAATAGGTCTTTCTACAATTGGTTACTTTGAATACAAGAACGCAGGGCCATTGGATTGGAAGAATTAACATAGTTAAGATGTCCATACTTCCTAAAGCCATCTATAGATTCAATGCAATCCCTATCAAAGTTCCAACAACATTTTTCACAGAAATAGAACAAAGAATCCTAAAATTTATTTGGAACAACAAAAGACCC